TCTCATCTTCAATGAACTGTTTAAAGGCATAACTTGAGTCTTAAAGTCGACTCCTATTCCAGAGTTTTCTGGGTCTCCCTGTAGATTTTTCTGGAGACCCCCAAAGGATAAGAAATCTATAATGATCTCTCGTCTGGATCAAAATTGTGCAAAGCTTGATAAAGCAACATTTGAGACCATACAGTTTGAATATCGTATATTGCATAAAATGCTCAGATTTTTTAATAGTCTCAGATCTGGAAAGTATGGGTTGTCTTAAGGAATTAAGTCTTTGCCACAAACTCAGATTGAAAAAACTCCTATTTCTGCTACCTAAAGAGTTAAACCTTTGATAATTCAAATTTAGACTATTTGATTGTACAGAATTTACACACTATAGTTTCAGTAGAAGTAAATATTTCCATTTAGTGTATAGCGCCGATATAAGGATTTATCTCTATTGGATAATGAGATAGATAGAAAGATAGATGTTACCGCCATGCAATTTCTATTGGTTCAGAATAGACACAAAACGAGGGAGGGAGTCCAGAGTTCCTCAAATAGTAATCACCGCCACCCAAATCTGTTTTGCGGCAAGCGCGCTCCTCACTTGGTAATCTCCACCACCTCAAATAGTAATAAGCCCAAAAAAGCATAAAATTAAATCGTTTATTTCTTAAAAATAAGACCATATTGACCTCTTTTAATGGCCCTATGGTGTACAATATTGTTAAAGCTTTCTCTATTGCTCCTTAGTTTCGAAAATAAATCAATAAATATGCCACACTAAGTGCTAGAAATATATTACGTTTTTTAGTTTCAAGTTTCGCTTTAAGAATGTTTGCGGCATTTTCCTCTGAATGTTGTTTTAAACTCCTTATATAGAGAGGAAACTTTAACCCATTCATTTTCAGTAGTACTCTTAGGAAAATGTTGTAAAGAGATTTGATAGGAAATATAAATAAGAAAAGATAAAATGGCCTTTGCTTGGTCATCATAAATTAAAATAACTAAATGTATTATATGTTGTTACAGAGCATAAAGCGTCACCAGTAACTTGATAAAACACTTATTTAGTGAAATGTGTCTGTTTACACTGCACAACTACAGTGTAAACAGACTCATTTCACTGAACAAGTTGGGTTTCAAGTTACTGGTAAATCTATTTGCTATATAACAACATCATATATTATAGTCGTCTTCCTTTTCCAGAGTTTTCTGGCTCTCACTGTAATTATAAAATAATTTTTCTTTTGTAAATTGATATCTGTTAATTAATTCGTATATTCTAATATCATAAAAATAAATAAGATATGTAGTGTATTTACTCATTTTTTCGAGTCCAAATGAATTTTAGTAAAACTATAAAGACGGATGGAAACCCCACCGCAATGAGCATCACAGATTTGCGACAGAAGGGAGACATAACTGACGCGGTTCGCCTTACCATATAATTATACATGCTTTGCAGACGGTACTTCATTTGTATATGAAATATTTGGCTGATGTAGAATCACCGCCTATACAATAACCTATTCTGAATATTTCATATACAAATGGAGCACCCGTCTGCAAAGCATGTATAATCATATGGTAGGGCGAACCGCGTCAGTTATATCTCCCTTCTATTTCATACTCCTTGTACCTGACCGAGCCTCCGCAATAACATTTTATATCATAGATACTAGAGTTTCTCACGAGAAAAAGAAAAAAATGGTCTGAGGTCATAACATTTGTGTGGAGTATCGTTGGTCTTGGTAACGCTTGATCTCGATATCCAATGTGGAAACTTTTAGATTTGAGGATCAACACTCAATTAAAGTTATTTTCTGTAGCAGGATATTACTGCTACAAAACTAGGTTTTTGGATGTTGAATTCTTTAACTAGAAATGAAGCTTTACTATATCTTATATAATCAGAAAGTGTCTAACTTTTAGAGTGATGTAAATATGAATGTTTTAGGCTAAAATATTCAACTAAAATAATATCTATGACTATAAAGTTTTACTCTGAAACTATTCCCTAAAACTGTCTTTTAAACAACAATTTAGCAACGCAAAGTCTAAGCAGTGCGGAGAGTATAAAAACTCTTATTTTTCGCTAATATCTTATATGTTTCTAGAGATTTGGTTTGCAGTACTTTAACATTCTTTTGTCCAACACTCTCAAAGATGGAAAATCTCTGATTATAGACTCTATAAGCCTAGTTGACTGCGCTGGGCTGTAGGTATAAAGTAGGTTACAAAGATATAGACGTCTGGGTCTGGGAATATGTTGCAATACATGGTAGAAAACAAACTGGATTTTTCGTTGCTATGCTAAGACAGTGATTTAAACATCTAGAGATCAGGATGTAAATATTTAAAGGTTTTCAAACATTTATGAGAGAAACATGCATTTTAGTTTATCTATATGTGACATTTTTATTTAAAAAATGTCACATTACTATAACGGGATATTCACAAGAAACAAGTTCTGACTTCTATAGACATAATATTACCCCAGACATTATAAAACATGCAATACCGGTGCGCAACATAAAATATGGATCAGATGCATAGGAAGGGTACCTTTGTTAATCGGGCATTAATAGCATGGAGGGATCCCTTAAAATTTGATATAGTATAAGACATTTTTTTATTATTTGAATTAAATTTTCAAATGTTTCCAACCATTTAAGCCCTGAATGCCTTTTTGATAAATTGCAAATTTGTGAAAAGTAATATTGAAAGTTTACTTTCAAAAGAATTTCAATAAAAAAGTTTCTTATCATAACAACAAAATAAATTGATCAAAACTTTGAGTTGTAACATTGTAAAACTAGAAATAATTAAGTTATTCATTCCAGGAACTAAAGGATAAAATTATCTCTGTTTTTCACCCCTTTTACATTCATTCTCCTACAAATATTCCCAACTCTTGTAGAAATCCAAAGGAATTGAGTCTTTGCCACAAACCCATATTTTCAAACTCTTATATCTTTGCAACCTTTGTAAACTTTTGATTTTTCCAACTTAGATCAATTAACAACAGATTCAGCCTGCTTGTAAAAAGCTCCATAAATTTTTAATGCATAAGTACTAGGCACTGAATCAGGCAGTTTCTATAGAACTGTACAAACGAATAATCTTCTAATTCAGGTTTTCCAGTTTTTTTAAATTATTATAATTTATACAACAAAAATTATTTAATTGTTTAATCTTTTCGTTTCTTTGCAACCTGATGTCGTAGGTCTTTGATATTTCAACCTGTAAATTTGATATTTCAACCTGTAAATTTGATATTTCAACCTGTAAATTTGATATTTCAACCTGTAAATTTGACGAACACATTAATCTCTTTAGAAAGGTTTTGATTTATTTGGTGTACTTTCCCGTTTAACCGCCAATAGTCTGTATGTATACTGTACAATCTTACAAGAGATGCCTTGTAAGCCGGTAGTTTTAAAAAACCGGAGTTTTCAGTGCTAGGTATAGGCAAAGTTTGAAAAATCAAGGGTTTACACCATCAGGTTGCAGAGTTATAGGAATTATCAATTAAAGATTGCGGCGATTATAGATTTGCTTTGGATTCCATTTGCACAAGTTTAAAAAACATTAATGTATTTTGTCAAAGAATATATAATTCCTCTTACTCTTAAAATGAAACCCTGCAGGAAAATTCCGGGCTGGGTTATTTCATTTTTTTTATTCTCAACTTAACTGATGTTTTGTGCTAATTTTGTAAACAATTTAATCATCTTTCAAGCTGCCAAATATACTTTTATAAATGAACGATATTTCTTGATAAATATATATATGGGATATATATCCATCAACAGATAATTAAAAAATGTTTGTATTGAAGGATTGAAGATTACCTCCCCGAATATATGGGATATATATCCATCAAGAGATAATTAAGAAATGTTTGTATTGAAGGATTGAAGGTTACCTCCCCGAATATATGGGATATATATCCATCAAGAGATAATTAAGAAATGTTTGTATTGAAGGATTGAAGCTTACCTCCCCAAATATATAAGATATATATCCATCAAGAGATAATTAAGAAATATTTGTATTGAAGGATTGAAGCTTTCCTCCCCGAATATATGGGATATATATCCATCAAGAGATAATTAAGAAATGTTTGTATTGANATCAATTTTGTACATAACCAGCGGTAATTTCCTAATATACGATTTTTTTACCACCGCCCCCTTCCCCTCCTATCAAGTTTGTACATGGATTTCACATTTAATACTCACCCGGACCAAAGTTAACGCCCGGTCTGGATGTAACGCTACACCGACTCGGAAATTAAAATGTACTAAGGCTGGGCCCGTGACATTAACATGTTGGAACTATAAAGCCCTTGTTTTTAGCTTTAGCTTTTAAGAAGCAATTGACAAATTGCTCGTAGATTTTTACGCGATAAACTTGCATCCTTAGAATCACTGTGCTATATTTAACAAATTAAATTAAACAGCTATAGCTATAGAAGGGGATTGACTAAGCCCATTATGAATGAAAATTAAAAAAGTTTGACCCCAGGATGATGATAAAGAAATTCAGATCGATAAAGGAGGCTATATATTAAGTAATATAAAAACATCAAAGTCAAATTGCAAATCTTCAGATTGGGACATTTTTAATCTTTGAATTTACCATTTTTAGCTCCAATTAATAAAAATTTGCATTTTGTGTGTGTCTGTTTTTAGTAACACTCTTTAGATCTAGACTGTTATGAAAAGCGACTAAACGAATTATAGATAAAAATCTAAAATTGTTGACCTCGTTCTCAGGATGAAGATAGAGAACCCTCACTCGTCCTCCACCTCGTTCTCCCACGCTGAGTGGGCGCACTCCAACCTCGAGAACTTCAGGCAATCAGAGGATGCACGACACCATTCAGAGGAGGTATTCACGCCGTTCTAACTATTAACCTCACGGTAATCTAGCTAGAACGAAGTATGTCCGAGCTCAAGCTAAGTGTTACGAGAAGTAAATTTGTCCTGGCAACGGTAAACTAACTATTGCTAGTAGTGTCCGGGCTTGCGGTAAAAATTACACACGCTAAATGTGTTCTGGGTCACGATAAACTAACTAAATCTGATTGTGTCTAGGCGTACGGTAAACTAACTATGACTAGTCGTGTCCGGGATCACGGTAAAATTGCTCACGCTAAATGTATTCTAGGTCACGATATACAAACTATGACTTGTCGTCTCCGGGCTCACGGTAAACTAACTGTGACTAGTCGTGTCCAGCCTTGCGGTAAAATTACTCACGCTAAAAATGTATTCTGGGTCACGATAAACTAAATAAATCTGATTGTGTCTAAGCTCACGGTAAACTAACTAAGAATAGTTGTGTCCGGGCTTACGATAAACTAACTATGACTTGCGGTGAAATAGCTATAGCCATACTTGTCCGGGCTTGTGGTAATATTACTGAAGCTACGCGTGTCCCCAGATTTACACTAAATAACCTGGAACTTAGCTTGTCCTGGGTCACGGTAAACTTACTAAAGCTAGGATTGTCCGTTTCATCTTAAAACATATTTCTGCTGCTCCTAATATCCCACAATCTTCTAGATTTGAAATAATAGCAGTTTAAAACCCGAAAAAGTTGCAACAAATACATCTGTTTCATAATTATTAATATTATTTTTAGTATTGGTATCTCCATAATAATCTTTATTGTTATTATCGTTATTATCATTATCTTAATTTAGGTTAGAAACAGGGCTCTTCGTCTAGTCGAAGATCGGGATCGAAGAACAGTAAGATCTCAAGATGATGCAACTAATAGGTAGGTTTAGTAAAGCAAGGGATGATGCAACTTTAGATTGAACGACAACATTTCCTTTAGATTGAATGATGACATTTCCTTTAGATTGAATGATGACATTTCCTTTAGATTGAACGATAACATTTCCTTTAGATTGAATGATGACATTTCCTTTAGATTGAAGGATAACATTTCCTTTAGATTGAACGATAACATTTTCTTTAGATTGAACGATAACATTTTCTTTAGATTGAATGATAACATTTCCTTTAGATTGAATGATGACATTTCCTTTAGATTGAAGGATAACATTTCCTTTAGATTGAACGATAACATTTTCTTTAGATTAAACGATAACATTTTCTTTAGATTGAACGATAACATTCCCATTAGATTGAAGAATAACATTTCCTTTAGATTGAAGAATAACATTTCCTTTAGATTGAAGGATAACATTTCCTTTAGATTGAATGAGAGAACAAGAGATGTAAATACCTGGAAAAGAGAATTGCAAAGAGAGCTTGATCTGTTGAAAAGAGAAGACCAGTTACTCGCAGGTCAAATTTACTAACTATCAGAGTTTGAAAAAAAACCCAGTTTTTTTAGTAACTTTTTCTGGTTGTTTAGAGGCAAGTCGTCAACTGGAGCATGCTATTCAACAATCTAAACGGCCTGAGGTATACTTTAAAATGTTTTTATCATTCATATATGTTGGCCAAATTTCAATCCTTTATGAGAAATTGGTTAAGAAGTGGGCCAGGGGCGTATACAATAGGTGGACTATGGAGAATCAGTCAACCCCCCCTCCCACTAGATGAGTCAAAACATGATTACAATGCTGCACACCTGGAAAGTTTTGTTTTAAATTTAAAATCCATATTTGCAAGGGTGGTTTCAGAGGGGGGGGGCAGTCCATTACCCCCCCTGAGTGAAATTTGAGGGGGGAGGGTTGTCTCCCTCATGGTTTTTTACGAAGTAATTTCTCATTTAAACTATAATTTTCATTTACATATTGTATATAAATAATACAGTTTACTTGGAAGTGACAACATTGTAAACAATAAACTTATATATATTCTCCTCCACCAAATATGCGCATTGGACAAATCTTATCAAATTTGTATCGGCCACTTTAGAGGGACGCCCCTCTATAACTAAAAAGTTCTATTTCTGGGGGAAATTTCTTTTAATAAGATTAAAGGGGGGGTAAAAAAGGGATTTCGCACTTCGCGCGATCCCCCCCCCCCCCTTATACTAAATCTTGAAACCACCCTTGCATATTTGTATTTTTAGGAGGTTGTTCATATCTGTAAGACTGCCCGAGAATACAGGAAATTGTCTTCAGCTTTCAGCAAAAAAATTAAAAATCTAATTTTTAATTTTAAAAACTAGGTTTAAGTTAATATTTTAATATAATCAAATTGTAAATCAACATTGGTAAAATGTGAAAAAGAAGTATCACGCTTTTTCCTTGAACAAAAATTTTCTTTTTATTTCTGAAAAAAATTATGTCTCTCAATTTAAATGAAAAACTTTAATTCTTTCTTTATATTACATTATAAAACATCTTATATTGTATATCTATATTTTACCTTTTGTGTCTTAAAATGTATGCTAAAAATTTTCTGCTTGATACTTTCGATACACTTTCCATAAACGAGAAATCTATCGTCGTTTTTTGACCTTGAAAATTGGCGTCCGTTTATTATAGTGCTGATTTAGATAAATTAAGTTAAGATAAAAAAAACGGCGCTATGTCATTTGTCTTAATATCACTTGTCCTACAATCATTTGTCCTTTAGTCATTTGTCCTGAAATCATTTGTCCAACTCATAATTTGTCCTACACTTAGTTTGTCCTACACATGTTTTAAAAGTTTATGAACTTCAACTTCAATAAAATATTAAAAAAAATTTTATTTCAATATTTTCTACATCAAATGATAATTTTAGCTCATAATAAAGTGCTTAGGACAAATGATGATGTGTAGAACAAATGTATTGTAGGACAAATGACTTTTTTCCATAACTGTAGAACAAATGATCTGTAGGAAATATGATTTGTGGGACAAATGATGTGTAGGACAAACGGTTTTTTGGACAAATAATGGTAGGACAAATGGTTTTTTGGACAAATAATGGTAGGACAAATGGTTTTTTGGACAAATAATGGTAGGACAAATGGTTTTTAGGACAAATAATGGTAGTACAAATAACTGTAGCACAATTGATTGTTGGACATATGAGATAGCGCCATCTAAAAACTAGTGTAAAATGTTCTTAAAATTTATTTGTCATGTTAGTTCACTGCTTATTTATAGAACTTGTTAAATTTCATTTTTTGATTAAAGCCTGGCCTACCCTATTGTAAATAGAGATGGGCGCGTTTTTTTTCTATCTTCAATTTGTTCGTTAACATTTTGACTGATCCATACAGTGCTAATGATCGTTAACAATGTTGAACTGTTCGTTCGCTTTTATTTTTGTGAACAATCAAATTCGTTCATTGTTTGTTAATTTAACAATGTTTCGTTTGTTCACAAAAACGATGTACATCTCTAACTAACTTGATAGTCGGAGAAAGAAGACAGTATAACCGCTGCCTAGGGTTGGTATTGACCAGGTCAAGGATAATGTTGAGATAGCCCTGGACACAGAGGCAAGAGAACTTAAGGAAAACAGATTTTCTTAAACCTTTGATGCTTCGCGCCCCTCTTTACATGGTATTGAGTATTTCGTTTAGTTCTCTGTTCTTTTCCATTTATTCTAATTCCCTAGCTGGGTTCCCTGGATTGGTTCTAGGACAGAAAATCTAAATCTTGTTTTAGAGAGTTCACGAAGGAATGCGGCAACACCAAGAGTTAGCTGTTGCACAAATCACCAGTAATGAAATGATTATGATGGCTTTGAAGCAGGTATAGGGTTCGAAATATACTTAATAGAGCTCATTAATCTTACAGTACAGTGTACAACTTGATCTAGATGCCTGAAAGTTGGTCTGTAGGCCATATGTTTAAGTGATAGATTGATATTATAAATATACAAAGTTGTAGTATATGTGCTTGTTTGTATGTCCTCAAATTATTGGGAAACTCGTTCGACTCTAAACTGGGAAGCCTGAATGTACGGTACAACGGACTTAATATACAGTACATGTAGTATCGACACGGACCATGCAACTTTTAGACTGGGGTGATAAATATTTGGGGAAAGCTGTACTATCATGAAGAAATATCCTAATCGGCATAATATATTTTACTGAAATGTATATGGACGAAACAGAATTTGACCAAAAAACATACAATAATAAATAAAACATGAAGAATGTAAGTACTTTTTGAAGACGGATCATATTAAGCCCAGCTAATAATTTGTGAGATATGCTTTCAATTATTCGGAATTACAAATAAATTCTCTAAATCACCGACTTTTTGGATTTTCCCAAATTTTCCCGAATTGCTTAGGATTTGCAACGGAAGAGCACTGCTATTGAGATTGATACGACCTGCTTCGAGTTAAACACAAACTCTCATGAGATAGCAATCCATCCAGGCATAAACCAGGTAGACTATTGCAACATAGATATTTACAAATATGTCTTTTAAAATGTGAAATCCGGGAAACTCTTGAAATAATCTGCGAATAATTTTTCGATGAGATTAAAACTGCTGAAGATTGCAGATTTAAGCTTTAAAAGTTTGATGAAACTGAAACTTTAATTATTTTGAGAGAAACCCCGTTAATTTTCAATATTGGTCTTTATTAAATTTTTTTTTGAAAGCTCTCGGTGCTCTAGCAACATGGGGTTCTCAGTGCAAAATGGTTTATAGAGTAGAGTAGAGTAGTTTTATTTTTAGGTGCTGTAAGCCTTAGTTCAAGTGACCTCTCATGCATAGAGGGTAATGTCCGATTTTCGACGGTCATTTCTCTGTTCTTCGAATACAGAGATCTCTTTGTGTAAATATATCGAAACCCGCTTGAATACCCGTAAATCACTGTTTGATCCGTTACGTGTGTCTCTTGAATTACTAAATGTTTTACAGTACAGCAGTTTTTGAATATGTAAGAGCTTGTAAACAAATTGATCTACAACTAAAACCGTTTCTGTAAATTACTGAAGATAAGACAGACAACTTTGAGCAGTCAAAGGTTCTTGTGTATACTCTTGTGAATCCAACATGCTACTCTTCTAATGGAGGGTCACTTTAAATTACGCCTATAGTTTCTTTAAGAAGGTTCTGCAACCAATGTGAACTATATCTGTTTGTTCTCTAGGCAGATATAACTAAAAGTTCCCCCCAGTCCTGGGTCAAATATTCAGACAAAAATATTGAAGATTCAACCAATGCCAGGTATTTTTTAAAGGAACTCTTTGTGGAATTTTAAAGCTATTTTTGCATCGGGAAATAAACAGTGAGACCCAAAAAACTCTGGAAAAGAAAGGCAGCATTTAAAACAAATAGAAATTTGAAGGTAACAATACAGTGGTCATCAGAATAAAATGGAATTAATGAATTTAAAAAGTCGATGTAATTTCAAGAGACTTTAAAGAGTTATGTGCCCTGATCTCAACGGTACCCTTGAAAACTTTGATGGGGGAAAATGACAGAGATATTTTCGTTTTTTCATATTACAAATAGTTAATTTCAATTGGGGCAAACGACAATATCTTCTATAGCTTTAATAAGATAGAGGTATAAAGGGTATGGTTGTGAATTTGGTATGTAACTTTCTCATGCAGTGTAACTTGAAATAATGTCAACAGTCCCTTTAAGGAGAGAATCCTTGAGACTGAAGAATCCCAGCACCTGCTGCAGAACCATCTTGAGCTGACCCTCAGCGAGATCTCTGAGCTGGACAAGCATATTCAGATCCTAAAGGTGAATTACAGTGGACTAGGGTCAATCTAAATTCTAACCGAACCGACCCCTGGTCCCGGGCACCGGTTTCTTTACTAATCCACATTGATCTACAGGTTGAAAGGCTGAATAATTTTTCCAATTTCTTAATTAAAGTGCTTTATAGCTTTTAAATGTGAATGTATAGGTCCTAGGGTTACCAAAAATACAAGTATAAGGTTAAGGCATTGCAACAGAAATTCAATCAGGGTTCAGTCATGTGTTTGATGTTTATTCTGAACCAATAGAAATAGTATGGCGGTAACATATATCTTTTTATCTATCTTGTACTGATACTATGGTGGACAGTACCTTACCCTTCAAAATTGTAGCAACTTTCCATAGCAGTCAGGATCTATGTAAATCTTTTATTTGAAAACTTCAAATAAGTACTAGGCTTTCAGGGATGCTATAGCAGTCTGGATCTATGTTAACAATTTATTTGAAAACTTCAAACAAGTACTAGGCTTTTAGGGATGCTACCTCCTTGTGTATACATTTAATTGTTTCTTTTCGCTTCGATTTAAAAAAAATCAATTTAAAGATTTGGCCCATTTTTCTGTTTTGAACATATAGACGGAGTTGAACTGCTTCCCTTTTTTGCGCCGGATCAAGTGAAGAGAAGTGGTTCAACTACGTCTACACGGTTCAACTATTTCTCCCAGGAATCTCTGAGGGCTAAAGAACCCCCGCTGAAGCTTGCAGAAACAAGATTGGAGTTCAGAACTCACAGGAAACTTGAAAAACCTTGATTTTTCAAAATTGCCACATTTAAAAACAATCTCTGCCGTAACCTTTTTTTTTCAAGAGAGAATACAAAGGAAATTAGCCTCATCTTTTCATTTAAAAATGGTTTAAGGTTTATAACACATTGAAAGGTAACATTACTGCTTAATTCCATCAATATAATTAATCCTGCTGCAGTGCATACATGAATATTTACAAATTACACCCCGCTTATTAATATAATTAGGGAATCATAATCCGATGATTATAAGAACATGTTTAACATAATCCTAAAGTGAAAGCAATATTTTTGTTTTTTGGCAAAAAAATTGTATTTTTGTAATAATAATGAAAAATCAAGAAAAACTTATCTACAGGCCGGATATAGAAGCTTGTAATGATTCTCCCCATGGAAAGTAAGAAACATGAAGAGAAGTGGTTCAACTACGTCTACACGGTTCAACTATTTCTCCCAGGAATCTCTGAGGGCTAAAGAACCCCCGCTGAAGCTTGCAGAAACAAGATTGGAGTTCAGAACTCACAGGAAACTTGAAAAACCTTGATTTTTCAAAATTGCCACATTTAAAAACAATCTCTGCCGTAACCTTTTTTTTTCAAGAGAGAATACAAAGGAAATTAGCCTCATCTTTTCATTTAAAAATGGTTTAAGGTTTATAACACATTGAAAGGTAACATTACTGCTTAATTCCATCAATATAATTAATCCTGCTGCAGTGCATACATGAATATTTACAAATTACACCCCGCTTATTAATATAATTAGGGAATCATAATCCGATGATTATAAGAACATGTTTAACATAATCCTAAAGTGAAAGCAATATTTCTGTTTTTTGGCAAAAAAATTGTATTTTTGTAATAATAATGAAAAATCAAGAAAAACTTATCTACAGGCCGGATATAGAAGCTTGTAATGATTCTCCCCATGGAAAGTAAGAAACATAGTAAATAAATTGTATTAGTAATTAAACTTATTATTAACGCTTATGAAACTTTTGTGTACTTTATCTTTCATGCTGACTTCAGTCGTAACTCTGATCTTAGTAAAATACAATGAATAGTAGTTAAACTAATAAACGTGGGTAAACCAAGTCTCTTGTGCACAAAAAGGTTTAACTTGTTCAACTTCTGCTCGATTATTTTACAAGGTCACGTTGTTACGCTTTTTTGTTTACACAATATAGCTTAAATCATGATGATGTTCAGGGCCGGATACAGGATTTAAGTGAGGGGGGTGCTAGATTTATTTTGTTTTGTAACAACATCAAATACACTTAAGTATTGCTTTAATGTCGTCTTCCTATTCCTTGTTTTCTGGTTTTCACTGGTAGCACTGTACAATGAAGTTTAATTGGTTCCGGGATATTTTAAAAAATATTATTTTTTAAAAGTTATTTTTTGAATAATTTTTCAGTTTAAATAAAAACAAAAATACCTACAGTTTAACCCAGATCTTTGGAGAATAGAAAGAATTTATTAAATTTATAGAATCGAAAAAATTTACAAAATCTTTCAATGTTTTATTTTACAGTGATAACCAGAAAATTCTGGAATAGGGAGACGACTTTTAAGCTTAAATTATGATATTAGATAGTCCAATGAGCACGGGAAATAGAATTTATTCAGTGTGAACAGACCCATTTCACTTCATTTGTGATTTCATAGTGTCTAGTTAAATTTTTTGCCCTATAACAACATCAAATACACATTCGTATTGCTATAAAGTCGTCTTCCTATTTCGGAGTTTTCTGGTTATAACTGTACTATTTTAACTAAATTTTAGTAATTGTAAAAATAAAAAGAAAGTCATGAAATATGCGGGAACAGTTATAAAGAGCTCCATATCATTATTCAGTTAAAAAAACTAAATATCTGCAGCATTCCATTATCAATAGGTTTTGAATACGACATTTTATAAACTATTTCGATGTCTCCAAAGTCTGGGCTTAACAATATAAAACACTATTATTTTGGCACGACGTATTATACAGCTTTTGCGCATAAACTTTCTCTGTTTATAAATGTTTGAAGAAAATATAATCTAAAAAAATGGGTTGACAAGTTGATCCTTCTTACAGCCAAGATTATCACGTTTAAGGTTTAAAGAAAAAAAAACATTGTGAATATGACTCTACAATATAGGATCCATAGATATACAAGAATATCTATGATAGAATCACTTAAAATTACGTGTTCAGTGTCCGAATTTAATGAATTTAAGCCATGTCTCAAATCTCCCAAAAACCGGTTTTAATTGACCGCCGGCTTAAATCTTGAAAAATTTAATACAAATTTAAGTGGAACCAACAATATTTGAGCCG